GTTTATCATGCAAAACATCCAACTTGGACATCCAACCACCTTGACATTCAGAAATACCACTTTGAGCTAAACACTAGAATATATAAAAGACACAAAAACATTCTGACCAATGAAGCAGCAGTTTGCTCCCATGTGACTTTTGCAAGACAAAATGCAATGCTGTAACAATTTAGTCCCCATTTCAGAACAGAGATACCAAACTATGAATTTAAAACGTATCTTAACTATGGGATTTTCTCAAGTTGGTGCAGGATAAGTTATCTGTCTAAGTTAGAGTTAGAGGCCTGTTCATATACACTGAGGATGAGCAATAGTAATAGTGGCGCTTGCAAGGCATTACGTCTCTCTTAGTGTTTGTGTGCGTCTGTTTGAAAGAGACTGAGTGAACTGATTGTTAAGAGACACTCTAAAAACTCTTTCATCTGCTGTTTCCTTCGCTCAAAAAGCAGTTTATTGCTCTTTCCATCTAATGTCTTCTTATCATGCTTTCTTTTCTTTTCTCCTCTCCATTTCTCCTGCCTGGCAAAATGTCTTTAAAGTGTGAGGGCCAGTCAGGGCTCCGGGGAAAGAGAGCTATTCTCCATAGACAGCAGACCTTTGAAAGGAAATGTTTTATTTCCTTTGAAATGAGCTGCCTGCCCAACTGCCATGTTGTGATCTTTAAGCATCCTTCATAAGAAGCCATCAGAGAGGCCCCTGACTGAGCTCTCTATACCTGTCTTCTAGAAAGAAAGAGAGGGTGAGAGAGAGAAAAAGAGACAGAAGTAAGACTATGACAGCGGACACGGCAGGGACAAACAAAATAGGAGGGATAGACTGAGATATGGAAAGGTAAAAACGATTATACATGCAGAGGATAAAGTAACAAATAAAGGTTGAAGTAAGGAGGGGGGAGTAAAAAAGGGATGAGGATGTAGAGAGAAAGACATTTGATACCTGGTAGGAGGAGTGACACTCAAAAAAGCTCACAAACAGTCCTCTATATCAACACCTTTCAATCTAAGCGTGGCATACTTATGTCTATATTGCCCTGAAGGATATCAATACGGCTGGGTAAAAAAAAAAGATTTTTCCAATACAACTTTTTAAAAATGACAGATATGTATTTGTATATGTATATAAATATAATAAATATGTATATAAAATCACATTAAAATCACACTACCGAATCTTACTCATTTTGATGTTATATACATATATATATTTGTACACACACAAACACACACACACACATATACTGTAAATATATATATATATATATACATATGTTTGAGGTCAAAGAGAATTTCTCAGAATTTAAATTGAGAAATTACAGATATATTTCATTTATAGATGTTCTACACATATTAGTTATAATGGCCACAAAAACTATTTGGACACTCAAGTTACACCTAAAAATATATGAATGCCATTGAATAAGATACAAAATATAAAAGTGTCATTTACTGTATTAAAAAAAAAATTTGCACAAGCAGACCATAAGGGAAAAAAAAGTCACAAAAAGAAGCCTGTTAGGTTATAAATTATAAAAATATAGAAATACAGTTCTTCTAGGGCACCTATATCTACATCTACTAAAAGTTACCTTTACCCTTAATTAATAAAAAGTTAAAAATAGCTAGAAAAAAAAACGGTCTGTAATCAACAATCCCTTTCGTGACATCCGTCCAGCATAGTCACAACATGTAGCGGAAAGACTTGCAGAGTTATAGCAGCCGAAAGAATGGAGAACAAATGCTTGTGTTGTCCAGCTATGCCCGTTTAGACAGTCTTGCATCATGCGTGATCTCACCGCATGAGACGGGACAACTACAAAGGCTTCTTATTGGTGCTGTACTCTGTGTCAAACATTCTGTGTTCTGTACATTCAATCAATCATTCCAGAAGGCCCGCTATGCTAATGTGTGAGAGGTGCGAGCTGGTGTTAACTGCCTGCACTTGAGTGCGCTCCTGTTCTCTTGTCAAGTGTCTGATCTAGGGCACTTTGTGTTATCCTAAAGAGCCAAGATCTGATAAAGTCAAGTATTTGTAAGCCTGTGTAATTGCTTAGTGAGAAAAATGTGTATGTGTTTGTTCTGGATGAGTGTTACCTCCTGAGGACTGTCTAGGGAGTGTGTTTGTGGGTGTAAACTCACCCGATCACGGGATCTCTGGATCTTCTCGCGATCGCTGTGCAGGTTGGTGAGGATCTCCTGTCCCACTTGCTCTGTAGGAGGATAAGAAGAGAAACAGGCCATGTTAAGATGTGGTTGTATTTACTGCTGTTTGGCTAATCTTCGAGGGGAAAATGTAGTCGCTTCAATAGGAATTTACGTGATAGGGAATTTATTTTGCAAATAGATAAAGTGTAATAAAATAAACAAATTGTGGAAGTTTTCTTTTCACTCGTCTTAAAGATGACGTTATGGAAGCAAAATAGCCCAACATCTTGACCAGTGACGGAAAAAAAAGGTTGTGCCTGTAGTGTCTTGTCTTAAAAAAATGTAACTTTGTCTCAAGTTATAGAATTACAATGAAGGAGGGACATATCAGGATCTCAGAAACTTGAAAGTGGGCTCTTCTTAAAAAAAAAAAAAAAGAAGCAGTCAAAAAACCATAGCAACCACCTAGCAACACCCTGCCTCATGTAAAAGTCTAGTTTCAACCCTGATTTTTGATGTCTGGGGATCTCAGACTACATCTCCTTCTCACCAACATGCTGTCTTAAATATTTTGCAAATCCCAGCATGCAGTATCAGACCGAGCCCGATCAGCACATGCAATATTCAGCTGCTCGCGTACAAACACATTTCATCTGTCATGGACGTACCACCCATTTACACACTCACACTTAGATAAACATCCCATACATGGCGTCTGACAAGCCTGTCTGTGGTCACTGTCATATTCACATCCCAAGGGTCGAAAGAAAAAAAAAACAATGAACAAAACAAAAATCCCACCCTCCCTTCCTCCAGCAATAACCCTCTCCACTGTAAGTAGAAACCACATTAGCAGTCTGAAGAGGAAGAGAGTAAAAAAAAAAGTGAAGTGAAAAATCTTTGCATGGATCAAAGCTATGCTTTCAAATGCACCAAACAATTGTGAGTAAACAACGCACTCATGACTGGATTTACGCTACACAGGTGCAGCTCTCAAAGAGTCAGCGTGACGCTCAAGGAACAGAGGAATGGGCTACATCTGCGTTCACAGAGAACGAGAAAGACTGAGACACTTAAACACGCGTCTCTTGCCTTCATTCATTTCCAATCAGAGTGAGGACAGATTAAAGGATACTCAGATTAGATGGAGCAGTCACAGCGCATGTGACAGACAGGCCAGATTAAAAGAGCGAATAGAGATATTAATAACCATCATAACTGTGGCCGGCTGCCGAGACTGAGACACGCTGCCGCCCACCCGTGAGTGGAAATCTTGTGTAAAGAAAATTAAGCACCGCTATCTGTCTCTGTCCAAGGCGAAAGGGGCCTTTAAACAACAGCCACAATGGCAACAATGCAACACACACGCTCGCTCAGCCTCATACATCACTTCAGATGATAGATGAGACCGTTGGCATGAAGCAAGGACTAAGCGCAAATGAAACAATCCTCATGTCATGTTTTTCAGATGCCTGTGAGCCGAAATGTAACCGCTTTCTTGATAGCGAGATATTCAGAGTCAAGGTCTCCTATTCAAGGGTCACACGCTTCACTATCTCCATTGACTCCGATTGTTGGCATCCACATAATTTAACGCTCATTCTAATGAATGTGGAGTGAATACAAACGAATTCAAAAGAAATATGAAGGGACAAATAGAGCAGGTACATAAAAGAATTTCCACAAAATCAATAAACAGGAGGGTTGGCTGACCGACTGCATAAAACCGTGCCATAATGTCTTCCTGTGCCACTGAAAACATGGAATAAAAGCTGTTAAACCAAACTCCATATAATGTAATATTCCTGCGGCCAACACACTGTAAAACACATTATGGACTCTGGTTTCTTTTTCCCCTGTGCATGAGTGCAAAGATAAATATTTCTCTTAGTTGTGGGACCGCAAATTGATGATGCCATTAAGCTCCAAAAGCACACACACATACACAAAAAACACACACTGTTGGACGATTAGCCGTGTGTACACCGCATCCCACGGGTGAGAAGAACTTTACCAACCCACAATTCCACGGCTCTCTTCCTCTCTTGATATATCCGTTTGTCTCTGTCTATATGTTTCACTAATAATCTGATCTATCTGTCTCTCTTCTTGATTTGTATATTTGTAGAGTAATGAGACTTGGACAAGAATGTGGCAAAGGTTTGAGCAGAGAGTTTTGGCTGGAGAAAAACAAACTCTGTCAGAAGGGGAAAACGACATGATTTCTCTTCCTTCCTTTTCTATGAAGAAAAAAAAGAGCCGTTAGAGGGGCGAAAAAGCACTGACTTTTCACTAGACACTGTCGAGGGATAGTTCACCCAAAAAATGAAAATTCTGTCGTCATCGCTTACTCTCGTTTTGTTCAAAACCTGTATGACTTTCTGTCTTCTGTGGAACAAAAAATTTAGACTAATATTTTAACTGTTTTTGTGCATACAATGAAAGTCAATGGGGTCCAAAACAACACTGACTTTCATTGTATGCCCCCCCCCCCCCCAAACCTGACGCCAAGCTTTTCCACAGGCCTGCTCTAGTTAAAGATCCAGATCCCCAAGGCCCATTTAACAAGGATATTACTAAAATGCATAACAGCACAATCATTACTGATGAGCTGGTTTTAATGCAGACTATTTAACTGATTGCTGACCACAACTTGCAGACGAGATCTCTGTTCTCACTGCGATATTTCTGAGCAGAACTGTGCCAATACTATCAAATTTCAAATTTGTATTATTCTTTCACACAATATTAAACTGTCTATTTATTTATGGGGTCATAATTTAATTACACAGATCTAATGATGATGAAGCAGGTCATCTAAAAAGGTGGTAACTGTGAAACTGGCATTTCTCAGTGAGGTTTACCGAGTTGTATTTTGAAGTACTCAAGGGACGGGTAAAAATATTGAATTTCTGATGAATCGCAATCATCATTTGAATCGCACTTCATTGATATTCATTCTTTAAATTGGATTAAAAAAAATATTTTTATCTAAGTATATTTTTATTTAAGTGATTGTGATAAAGGATTCTGACATCCTTCAGATGTCAACATGGAATTATTTATAAAATTAATATTTACATAATATACTAAGTTAACAGGTTAAGCTACACCGCTTTTTCAGAAGTCACCGTAAAAGAAAAAAGAAATCATATGACTGTGATTGTGAGTTCACAGTCTTTATTAAATTTTATTCAATAAAAAGTCTGTGTACCGCAACAGAATTGCAAGAAACACCTTTCTATGTTTTGTTGTCTTTGTAGGTGGCACACAGAAACAAACATAACATGAACAGCGTGAATCATATTAGCAAACAAATGAATCTTACCTACCAGTTCTTTTTAGTAACTCACTAAAGTTGAGTATCCCGAATCCCAAAACAATGACTCTTATGAGCTGGTAGTTCTATGCAATTTACAACAAAAGATCAGGAAATTTCCTTCATATATAAGCAAAACAGACTGCAATGAATTGTATTTGGATCAAATAAAATCTTACTCAAATTGAAATCTGTATCAATACCCCACCCTACTTTAAAGATGAATTATGATTCAGCTGGAGAAGTTTCTAAAACACTGTGACACATTGAAAGATTCAGTGTTTAATTACCAGTAGTTCTTTTAGCTGTTGTTAATTTCTTTTTATCTTCTTTTTATCATGTTTCCTTTTATTCTGAGTGTATTGCTTCGACTTTACTACTTTTCCCATCCCTACAACATTGAAACATTGTGTTAGTGCAGTCAAAGTTTCTTTCATCTTTTCGGTCTGTCTGTCTTTCCCTTCTGTGACTGACCGTGCCTGTCTGCCTTTGAGCTTGGCCTGCAGGAACATCAAATCACTCAGGACATCTCGGAGGTCCGAATGTCACTCGTTTTCATCCCTCCCTTCCTGCCAGCCGTTGGCAGGAAGATGGAGGCTGAACACACCGGGGAAGAAGCGTTTTCCACCTCTCCGTCCCCTCGTCCTTCTATCCGTCCATCTACCTCCCCTCAGCAGACACGTATAATTGGGCACATCATCAATTTTACAGCAGCTGTTTGAGTGCGAGTCCTCTCTGAGTTGTCTGAAGCCCTCTGTCTGTCCCAAGAGCTGAAAGGGTACATGCCCTGACACAGGCTCACTCCCAGGCTCCGGACTGCTTTTTATTACAGAGTTGCAGCCACTTTTTGAAGGTTACCACACACACTTCTATCTGGACACAATCCACAGACAGCCAAATGAGAGCAAAAGCGCCCAGGGGAAGAGTAAAGGCAGGTCCAACACCGACTGTCCCACACAGACCCAGACACACACACACACACACGCACACAAAGAGCAACACAGAAACACAGTTCCTTTCTCTTTATTTTAGACAAGTTATTCCCCTGTCTGGGTGCAAAGTGCTGATGGCACTTTTATTATTCTTGTTATTTGTTTACAGTATTCAACTGCTGACCCACCAAACTTAAAGGGGTCATATGATGCAATTTCAAGTTTTCCTTTCTCTTTGAAGTGTTACAAGCTGTTCGTGAATAGATTCCTGGTAGAGTAGCCTACAGAACACCCGGCTGTTCTGACTCACAGCCTGCAAGTAAGTTTTTATATTTAAAGAATTTGCCACTGACGATTCAAACGCGAGTTTTGAGCAGTGTAGAGTAGCGCTTGTTGTTTGTCGTTTCTCCGATCACAAACGCAGACATGGTTTTATGTTTACGCGGCGCGATGCAACGCAGGGCGTAAAAAGACAGTATAAGTCATTATAATCAGTAATTATAATGGGCATAGATATTAGGCATAGAGGAGAAACAATAATGTACAGTATGTGGAAAATAATGTGTTTTTTGAACCTTAAACCGCATAAACACATTTCATTACACCAAATACACAAAATAATGTTCTTTTTTAGCAACGTCATATGACCCCTTTAAGCAACCTCTCTGTTGTAGAATGAACAAACAAAATATTTCAAAAAAAGAGAAAAAATATTTTTCTGTCATTATTTACTCACCAAAAGCGGATACTTTTTCTTATGTGCATCAATAAAAAATATTTTGAAGAATCTTCAAAAACTGCTAAAACAAATCAA